TGGTCGCCCAAAGATCCTCCCTGGATAACCCCATCTCTGTCCGTGGCTTATGTTGAGATGGCTGATGGGATCCTTGAGTCATACACCTAGTCTCTTAAGCCAAAGGTTTTCTGGGCACACGATTGGCCTTCTGGCCAGAGCACACTTTCTCAGCAGTGAATATCCTAACTTTAGAATCCCTTGCAATCCAGATAGGCCAATAACTTCCAAAGTCATCAAGTCTCTTTCCTTTTTGCTTATGGTTTCTTCCTCAATTTCTCTCTTTCTTCTCAGACTTTATTATGAGTAGCAAGAAGAAACCAGAACTTCCACACTTTGCTTGGAAATATTAGCTAAATATCCAAATTCCCTGCTTACAATATATGCTTTCTGTCCAACTCTGAAATATAATTCAGCTAACATTTGTGTAATTGTATGACAAGGGTTGCCTTCCCTACAGTTTCCAATAATACAATATGTTCCTCATTTTATTATGAGATCTCACCAAAAGCATCTTCAAAATCCACATTTCCACCTCTAGTCACTTCAAGCCAATCTATGTATAATTTTTTGTCATGTATCTCAAAATACTTCCAGCCCCTATCTATATTGTCCAATTTCATACTCACTTCCATATGTTTGATATTTGTCACAAAAGCTCACCTTTCTGTGTATCAAAATCTGCTCATTTCCTAGGACTACCATAAAAATGTACCAGAAACTTGGTAACTGACATTTTTCCTCTCACCGTTCTGGAAGCCAGAAGTTCAAATGCAAGGTGTTTATGTAGGGTTGTTTCCTTCTGGAAACTCTAAGAAAGAATTCGCTATATGATTTTCTCTTAGCTTCTGGTGGTTGAGGGAAATCCTCTCTGCTTCTTGGCTTCACATCACTTTAATTTCTGCCTCAGTCTTCACATGGCTGTCTTTCTTTTTGCCTCTTTATTTCAAGTCACCTCCCTTTTCCCTTATAAAAACACGTGTCATTGGATTTAGGGCCTACTGTAAATCCAAGACGATCTTATTTGGGGAAACTTGGCTTAATTATATATGCAAAGATTCTATTTCCAAGTATGGTCACATTCACTATAGAAGATAATACTTGAAAATGTTATAATTGTTTTGAAAAACAGAGTAAAAATGTGTAAATACATATAGCTATACACTCATAACTATGTATATATACACACATAAAACTATATATGAATATATATGCATATATAGCTGTGCATATATATGTGTACATACATATGTGCTTATGTATATTATATATATGTACATACATATGTACATACATATGTGCTTATGTATATTATATAATATATATAATATACATAATATATGATTTAATTTATAAATATATAAAATACAATTTATAAAAGCTAAAATATAAAATATAATTCTTAGGAATGCTCTCTATATAATAGGATACGATAGGCAGATCATATATACCGCAGCATACATAATAAGTATTATCTTTAATGATATTATATACTACCCCTTCCAACTTTAATACATATCATGTATGAATATGCATACGTTAACTAATATATCATGTATGAATCATCATACACAGGTATCTCTATTATCACTGTAATAAATCTATATTATACAATATCATCAACGGGTATAGATATCTATACATGAAATATATATCAATATATCATGCCC